TCCGCTGCTGCCAACCAAACTCGTTGAGCTAAATCGTAAAGTTGTACATTATAATGAATTAATTTTTAAGGAGCTGCTTCATTCCAACTTTGGTGTGACTTTGGTACCTGGTTTTGACATGTTCTGTGATGAGGCTGGGCTCCTAAGCCAGCAATTCTCTAGGAACATTGGACGAAACCAGAGACCGGACTATTTACACCTCAATTGGAGTGGTACAGCAAAACTGGGGGTTCTTATACGTGATACAATACTTTTAAGGATGAATGGAGGGACTGATAGAAGGAAGAAGAGATCGGATAAAGTTGACAGTCGCTTATACTCCCAGACGATGGGTGGTTCCTCTCCTGCTGCTGCTGCGACTCAACAAGGGGAAGGTTACGTACCGTACCCATGAATAAATTAACCAAAGAGGTATGCCCTGTCTGTACAAAATTCATTTCCATTGGCCAATTCATTGCTGAATGTTGTAGGTGTGACTGTGCTATGCACCATAAATGCTATACTAAATCCAGTACAAACAAAATATATGAAGATTTTTACTGCCCTAACTGTGTACACTTAGCAAGTACTCGTTACAATCCGTTTATATATGAAGATACTGACTCTGAAAATAATAGTACTGACATTGATGAAACACTTGTAAACATCAACCGATTACTCAATAACTGTAACCCATATAGTGTTAAAGAATTTAATAAAACATTTTGCAACCAAATGAACGAGTACTCATCATTATTATTTCAAAATATCGATGGTAATAAATCTAACTTTGATACTCTGGCAATAGAACTACAGAGATATATGAAATTTTCGATCATTGCTTTAGCAGAAACAAATGAAGGCCCCGAATTAAGTGACCTTTACCAACTGACTGGATACAATAGTTTCTACCAAAACACTTTGCAAGATAAAAGAAAAGGCACTGGAGTCGCTCTTTATGTATGTGATACCCTCAGTGCTACAGTAAATGGCAATTTGTCCCATATATCTGAAAACCTAGAAACTCTATTTGTTACGATAAGCAGCAAGAATACTCCGGTCACTGTTGGTGTAGTTTATCGCCCTCCAAGTGGTGATGTAAATGTTGCATTATTAGAACTCTCAGCAATTCTCGATAATTTGCCGAAATGCAGTTACCTGGCAGGTGATTTCAACATTGATCTACATAATAAGGATAATGCGATTGTAAAACGTTATGAGGAAGTCCTGTTCAGTAGAGGATTTTTCCCCCTAATATCTCTGCCAACTCATGAGAAGCCAGGTTGTAAAGCATCATGTATTGACAATATTATAACTAACGATGTAGAGAGTATAATAGCCTCAGGCACACTTACTGATCGTATATCCCACCACTCACCAGTCTTTCAAATATTTGAAAAGAGTATGGGATCCACTAAGAGTAACCTAAAATATAAACAGTATTACGACTACTGTAAGTCTAATGTTACCTCTTTTGTAAAGGACTTGGAACATGAATTAGAGAATAAAGTAATTGACAACTTCACAGTATTTCATGATGTTTTCAAAAGTAGTATCGATAAAACGTGTAAGTTGGCAACCCCTAAGTCTTCCAAAAGAACTACACAAAATAACCCATGGATCACACCTGGTCTTATAGCCAAAATCAACCATCAGCACCAACTCTATGACAATTGGGCTAAAGTTAGAAAGAAAAAATGTAAACTTGGTGAAACTGATTATAAAGGTGGAACATGTCAATGCTTGAAATGTTGTGAAAAACGTTCTAGATACAAAACTTATAAGGATTATAGAAGGATGGTTAAAAAAGATCGCAAAGATGTTCAAACTAAGTATTTTATGGGAAAATTTGCAGACACAAACGGTAATAGTAAGAAGACATGGGAACTGATTAATCAAATACGAGGCAAACAGAAACGGCAAATAAAACCACTGTTTACTATAAACAATGAGAAGATAACCAATCGTAGAGTAATAGCCAATGAATTTAATAAGTATTTTGTTTCTCTAGCGTCTAATTTAAACGGGGCATATAATGAAATTGGAGAACTAACTATTAACAATCTTCCTAGTTTTTATGACTACCTGCCTAGAGCAAACACGTCCAGTATTTTCATGAATGACTGTACAGCTGACGAGGTTAGAATGATTATATCTGAACTGAAGAATGGGAAGTCATCCGACATCCCAATACATGTAGTTAAAGAATCGTCTAAAGTGATCTGTCCTATACTATCTTTATTATACAGTGAATGCATGAGGAATGGAGTATTCCCAGATGATTTAAAGACTGGGAGAATCAGTCCGATCTACAAGAAGGATAATGAGGAATTGCTGGAAAACTATAGGCCAGTATCAACCTTAGCTGTTTTTGGTAAGATATTTGAAAAAATTATTTACAACAGACTGTATAGCTTCTTTCAGTCCCAGAAAATGATTTACGAGAACCAGTACGGATTTAGAAAAAATCACTCCACAAGCCATGCCCTCAACTCCTCAGTGAATTACATAGAATCCTGTCTTAGCAAAAAACTGCATGTACTTGGAATATTTATTGATCTATCTAAAGCGTTTGACACGATCTCACATGAAAAACTACTTAATAAACTAGACAACTATGGAATACGTGGAAACGCCAATAGACTCATCGCTAGTTATCTCTCTAACAGATATCAATATGTCTCTGTACTGGGCGAAGAGTCTGACAAGCTGCCTGTTCTCTTTGGAGTTCCCCAAGGCTCTTGTCTCGGACCCTTGCTATTTATAATATATGTTAACGACTTATTTAGAACAACTGATCTGGGCAAGTTCATACTATTTGCAGATGACACAAACATATTCGTAGTAGATGAATGTAGAAAAAAACTGTATGAAAGAGCAAACGAAATTCTTCGTTTGTTACACCAGTACATGAAATGCAACCTATTACATATAAATATAAAGAAATGCTGCTACATTCACTTCAATCCGTCACGTACAGCTACTGATAATGAGGCAGATAACGAATCAGAATATATACTAACTCTGAATAATACGGTAATAAAGCGAGTTAAAGAGACCAAGTTTTTAGGTGTTATTATTGACGAAAAGCTAAAATGGGATGTTCAAATAAGAGCCCTCAACTCGAAACTTAGGTGTGAGATCGGAAGACTCAGTAGAATACGACACGTTATCCCAAAAAAACACCATAAAGAATTGTACCACACGTTATTTGAGTCACACCTAAGATTTGGAATATCGGTATGGGGTGGGTCGAGTAACAATATGCTTCAACCTATCTTCATCACTCAGAAAAAATGTATCAGAATACTATTTGGTGACCTTGAAGCATATCTAGATAAATTTAGAACATGTGCCAGAACACGTTGTATAGATGAACAAATCCTAGGAAGGGAATTCTTTGAAAAAGAGCATACAAAGCCGTTGTTTAACAAGAACGGCCTTCTTACCGTCCACAACCTCTACAAATACACATGTCTATTAGAACTGTTCAAAATTGTCAGATTAGAATCTCCAATCTCACTCCTATCTTTACTCCACAGATCACCATCACAAAGACGTTCAGACCAGTTCATCACCCCGAACCCATCCTCCTCTTTCATTTATCAATCAACAAAAATGTGGAACGACTGTCGAAAAATTGACAGTTTGATAAGCTTTACTAAGTCAACGAACTTAGTTAAAGTAACACTAAAAAGTGAGCTACTCAAGATACAGTCCAGGTACGAAGAATTAGAATGGACAGAATTAAACTTCGATAAGAATGAGCTTGTATTTTAAAACAGAGTCCTTTGACTTTATTATTTTGAAATTGAAGAATCGTTTGGCCATAACTCATTTCGTTCGCATTATAGATTCACATTCACTTTCATTTTCATTTTCACTATCACGCACAGTACAGGGTCATACCTCAATACCAAATTATTATAGGGCACAAGAACAAATTTGTTTACAATTATCAAAATTTGTTGAGCCCAGCAGCTTACTTTCTTTCCTCTCTTCCCCCGTCGTCTGGAGTGTGTGATTTTTGTTGATATCCGAGCTCTTATTTTTATCTTTTGGTTAACTTTCTGTGATTGGACTCGGTATTTTCGTCCCGGCCGAGTGGGACGATGCTTGCTCGCCAGTTAAGCTATACTGTAGATAACACTAATTTCTACAAACCACAAAATATTAAATATAAAATGTGTCCAGTATGGCGCAAATGCATAATTTAATAATTTCTCGACGCCATCGTCGGGGTGAGAGTTATCTGAACCAACTGCACGCCCCTACGATTGCGTCACCACTGGTGAGCAAGCATTTGTTTGTTGTTTAGTTGTGTTGAAAGGGAACATTACTTGATTAATTCATCCATTCGGATTTTAATAACGATGAGCTATGATATACCGTTCATCTTAGATTATTGGATCAATCTTATTATATGATTAGATTTTATAAACGAACTTGGCACACAAAAGATTATAATGCGGAGGTTGGCTGGCTCTTCTATAATAAATACGACACTTCAATTTACAGAATGCTTGCTAGAGATAAGACAAAATATTATCAGACTATACATGCAGCATGAGTAACTGGTGGATAAGCCTTCGGTAAAAACGGATCCGGAAAAGTCAATGCGGCACTCGGGTCCTTGGTATTGTCGTCGGTATATTGTCCATTATCTACGTTCTGCTTTCGTAGTTTAAACAATAGTGAGTTCTAAATATACAGCTTTAAACCGATTAAGTATGAATGAATGAAATACCTGACAATCCGCACTCTTATAATCCAAAAGCATGAGTAACTCGTAGTGATGTATGATTTCTAGAAACTTTAAATTAAATTTGGCGCTCACAGGTCCTCATGAATATGTGATCGCCGCATAAGGTTCTGTAAATGCGCAGGGCACCTTCAAGCTTAAATTATTCACCTTACTGAGGCAGTCAACCAACGCGCGGCTTTATTTTTATGATATGATATGTTTTGATTGTTATTAATAAATACCAAAATTTAAATTTGTTTTCCTAAAATTTGTTTTCCTATTTCTCAGGAAGTCCATAGTGTCTCATGCTTGACCAAATAAACTCTCTTCTGATGGAATCAAACGCTGCCTTAAAATCAATGAAATTAACATAAAGTGGAATGTTAAACTCAATGCAGTTGTGAATAATGGTGCGGATGGAATAAATCTGATCAATACATGAGCGGTTCCGTCTGAACCCACACTGATTTTCCCTAAGAAGACACTCCATTCCAACATCCAGCCTCTTAAGAAGAACCATTTGAAGAACCTTAGAAGACGTTGCCCTAAGAGTTATACCCCTATTATTGCAGCAGTATGAGGTGTCTCCCTTCTTTCCGATAACCACTATAACACCTTTAAGCCAATCCTCAGGGATCACCTCTTCCTCCCATACCTTTTTAAACAGTAGCTCTAGTTGGCCAACAAGAGCACTTCCGCCATACTTAAGTTGTTCATTAGTTATCTCATCAACCCCTGCACTTTTGCAGTTCTTCAGTTTCTTTAGAGCATAACTAATCTCATCTCTAGAAGGAGGTCCATCAGAACAAGAAAGGTAGTCAAAACTCGGTTGTGAGGGCACACCATCGAGGTCATCAAGATTGGCATCCGATAGTGGAGGATTTAAGAGCTCAGTAAAGTGCTCCTTCCACCTTTCCTTCTGACTGTCCGGGTCTGTAATAAAATGACCATCCTTATCCCTAACTGACATACCCACTTTCTTCTTCTTTTTCCCAGAAATCTTCTTTATCTTATCCCAAACTTCCCTTTGCTGGCCTTTCTTAGAAGCCTCCTCTAGATCAGTCGCTATTTTAGTAGCCCAGTTGTTGTTGTCAATTTTACAACTTTTCTTAACTAATTTATTAAGTTTAGAGTAGGCTGATCTATTGACGTTTGAAGTGGGATCCCTCCGTTTGAACATTCCCCGTTGCTCTATCAAGTTCTTAGAGGTTTGCGAAAGGTGTTGTTCTTTAACCTTCCGGGGACGCTTTCCAAGCACTTCCATCGAGACATCAGTGACTGTCTGCTTGAAATTATCCCACATGTCCTCAAGGTTGACCTCATTAGCCAGACAATCAAAACGGTTCTGAAGAGCCACGTTGTACTCTTGAACCTTAGACGAGTTTCGCAAATGTTCGATAGCAGGCACATCATGCCTTTTAGCAGTGATCTTAGCTACCGACTGCAGTTTGATTTGCAGCCGTCCACGAACAAGATAGTGATCTGAACCAATGTCAGCCCCACGACATACCTTAACATCGAGTAGCGAGTGTTGGAATCGTCCACTAATACAAATATGATCTATTTGATTCACAGTTAACCCGTTAGGAGACCGCCATGTACCCTTGTGGATGTCTCTATGCTGGAACAGAGTTCCACCAATAACAAGTTGATTGGCTGCACAGAAATCCATGAGCCTGGTCCCATTGTCGCTTGATGAACTATGGAGAGATTCTCCACCAATAACTCCCTCGAATCCATATCTGTTTGAAGTAACTTTTCCATTGAAGTCACCCAGTAGCAGTTTCAGATCATGTCGGGGCAGTTCACCAAACGTGTCTGATAAAACGTTGTAAAAACGATCTTTCTCTCCGTCATCAGCACCGTCAGTCGGAGCGTAGGCTACAACAACAGATATGTTGAGGTGTTTGCCGTGTAACCTAGCTGTTAAGACCCGCTCTGATGTAGGTACATAAGAGATCAGGGAGTTCCTGACCTTTTTGGAAAGACATAGGCCAACCCCTTGCCTTTTGATACCATCTCCCCTACCAGAATGAATAAGTAGACTACCATTGTCCAAAAGTGTACTTCCAGATCCTGGCATATGAGTTTCAGTAATACCCAAAATATCAAGACTGTAGTGATCAATGTTCTGACTGAGTTGATAAAGCTGTGAAGATGAGCTGACTAAAGATAAAACATTCCAGGTTCCAAAGTACATTGAGTGTTTGCTGTAGTTGATAGGATTGGACTTGCTGAAATCAGTGTCAACATGAGCGATCTGTTGACTAATTACTCTGTTGTTATGACGAGCAACCACTCTTCTCATCAGGCCACTGGGGTCCCTGAGGCTTTGCCCAGTTGCCGTCATCCTGGTCTCACCCGACCTTGCAGAGGTAGAAGCACACCGTCCTTGATTTGTGTGTAATGTTTCAGTAGCAAACTTTTAGAGAGGAGAAGTTGCCAGCATCTCGCACCCGGTTTTTTATCGACCTTTGCCTGTCTAGATCCATAGTGTTTTGTTGCACGTCATCTGTTTATACTGGAGTCACCCAGGACAGATTACAATGCTTAATAGTAGCACCTCGAAAAGGATGTGATTCTTCATCACGCACTATGGTCATTGGAATAGGAGAGGTTATTGGCTTCACTGCCTTCACGATCACTATTCCCTGAGATTATAAATAATCTCTTGCCACCAAAACGGTTTTACATAAACCCCATATCCAACCCTAACCCTAACCATAACCCCAAAGCTATCCATAATCTTAACCACAACCCTAACCCTAACCCGAGCCCTAAATAATCGAATTCACGTTTTACTAGCCTGTCACGTGACCTAAACGGTTTTTTGTCCATAACTCTCCAGGGAAGCTTTTTAACCCTACGTCATGGGGGGTGATTCGGAATCAGCGTCCAAAAATACACCGATTCAGATCGCTTTCATGCCTAAAGGGCCTTTTCACAAGAATTTTCTTAAAATTTGGGCGAGCGATTTAGTAGGAGCGATTCTGAATATGTACTGTGTTGAAATTTAAATTATTAGGCATTTCACGTTCAAATTCACAATGAAAAATCTATAAATCTATCCCAGGCAGCATGGTTTTCTAGAGCACAAGTCATGCACAACCAATATGGTTGACTTTTGTGATAGCCTGGCATTGTCTCTTAACGAAAACATTATCAATCATGTTGTGTATTTTGATTTTGCTAAGGCATTTGATTCTGTAAATCATGATATCCTTCTTCATAAGCTAAAGACCTTATATAACATTGATGGTACACTTCTCAAATTTCTTACCAATTACCTTCAAGGCCGTTACCAAAGAGTGGTTATTGGTAATGAGATGTCATATACCCTCTCAGTTAATTCTGGTGTCCCCCAGGGCTCTATCCTTGGTCCCTTACTTTTTGTATTGTTTATCAATGATATTCCTCTTGGCCTTTCGGATAATACTGATATTGTTTTGTATGCCGATGATACAAAAATCTGGCGTAAAATACATTCATCTTCTGATAATTCCAATTTACAAATGGATATAGACTATCTCTCTGATTCAGAGTTTCACGATAACATAGAACCAGATATTTCCTTCGATATTTTAGAAATTAACTTATATAGCACCATTAAACGTAAAGTGACAGAAGCTTACTACATTAATTTATTTAAACCTAGTATCAATAACAAAGAAGAGTGCGAGAAGCTTAAGGGATTTCTTTTACAACATATTCAAAGACAAATTTAAACAAATAGCACACGACCCTGCTGTTCAGTAGATATTATGTACTTGGACAGAGTGTAAAACGTGTGTACATCACTATTTTCAATGTAATGTACAATACCATTTGATGTAACCTGTATTCAGTGTATGTAATTTTAATTTAGCATTTTAACTAGTATAGAAGCATTTATTATATACTAACATTTATAACAATTTTAGCCTGAAGATGGCGTTGACGCCGAAAATTTGCCCTTACTCCTAACTTCCTTGTTTCATTTGTCCTTGTCTCTTCCAACCGGATAATATCCAGATATCAGTATTTCAATCATGAGACTAATAAACAGCGAACTACTCCGTTATTTGATATCTCTCTGACTGGGCACTTAGAAACAAAATGCGATTCCATCCAGCAAAATGTAAAGTGCTTATTGTTTCAGGAAAACCATCTTTATCTCCTCCATTCGCATACAATCTTGATGGCTCTCCTCTTGTGTATGTAGAGTTAGAAAAAGATCTTGGAGTCGATGTTACTCCTAAGCTAAGTTGGAATAGTCAGTGCGACAGAATTTATAGTAAGGCCTGCCAACAACTTGGTATGGTCAGAAGAGATGGCCATATTGTCATTGATCTGAAACGTCGCCGGGCGCTTTACCTCTCCCTAGTTCGTAGCCAATTCGAAAATTGTTCCATAATCTGGCGCCCTTGTAATAAATCACTTAGTGATAAATTAGAAAGTCTCCAAAAGAGAGCTATTAAATGGATTCTGTCTGAAGAGGGCCGCAGTTATCCACCTGAGCAATATGTCAAAAAGTGCAAGCTTGTCGACATTCTCCCTTTGTCTCAAAAGTTTGACTTGAATGATCTTATTTTTTTCCACAAAGTTCTGAACAATTTAATTCCTGTATCGCTGCCTCACTATCTATCTCTATATCAGGGCACTTCTCGACTAAGACGTTGCCACCTCGACAGTCTGTCTATTGTGTCATCAATTTTACCTAAGTTAAGTCAGAATTGACACACCTTATGTACCTCAAATAGCCCACTGGCAAAATCATTTTTCTACAGAATTCATATACTGTGGAATGGACTCCCTTTACAGGTAAGACAGATTGTGTCTACTAGTCTTTTCAAAGCTGAGGTCACTAAGCATCTATGGAAATGTTTATTGGATAGTGAAACAACAGCCTAGCCTAGTCTCTTTGCTCCCCATATTATTATTATTTTTGTTTTATTAATTTTTTATCTACCTTCCTATACTTTCAACATCATATCACACTTCACCCGCACACCTTCTCACACATTAATGACCATATCAGACCTGTATCTAATGTATCTGGAATTTGACGTATTGAAATACCAATTTTGACTATATATCCACAGTTATACACCATGGATTTGTTTGTTATTAAATAGTTTTTCATAAATTTTTGGATTTAGATTAATTCGATGTAATGGGTCCAAGTTACTGCGGACATAGTTCACTATGTGTTTACCGTGTTTGGGTGCCCATCATATTTTACAGATGGGGGCGATATTTTGAACGATTCTATTTTATATTCATCTATTGCTGTACTCTGTAAAATTTGAAAAGTATTTAATAAAAAAAATAAAGGGAACATTAGTCAAGTTGCAAGTACAAAATATTTGTTTTACAATATACAAACATATGAGTCTATTGAATTATGAATTGTGATTGTCAAATCCATTAAATATTGTCCATTGTGTATTTAAAGAATTTCAATGTTCAGCCTATAGCTATGCCTGTTGTGCAAATTACTACAAACCTCGGCAGGAGACTTGGAACACCTTTTTTAAAAAGTGTATCATCTCTAGTGGCAGATATGACCAAGAAGCCAGAGAAGGTGACCAAATTTGGTGTTTGATATTGATGGCCTATATTGTCTGGGTGAATTATTGCTTTATTCACAACAAATCCCTGCCCAACATTTCATCAAACTGTGTGATGTCATTTCAGGCAGTTATAATTACGCTCAATTCTCAATACGACATGTGGTGCAATGGTTCTGATGCTCCTCTAGCGCACATCAGGTTATATAGCGACTGCAATACAGTGCAAGAATTCTTTTAATTCATGGGCAATAATTGTGGGAAGGAATAAAGTGTATATAGGGAGGTGAACCATATTTGTGTTGGTACATTACAGTGACTGTGTTTTGATTGGTTAATACTGGAAGCTAATTGGTTTACCTCTGTCAAGAGTCAGAATAAATATAGTTCACCTCCCAGTGTTGAGTGATCCTTGAAGGGTCAGGCTGTGACAGTGTGATGAGGAAGGGGAAGGCTTAAGTGGCCATTTTAAGATTGTTACATATCACAGGTGTTGGCATAAGAGGGAGGAGGTCATTAAAGTAGTAGGTAAAGGTAGGTGAACTGACAGTGTTGCAATAGTTTAATTTACTTGCCTTTATTCCAACAAAATTCTGACCAATACTCGGCCAAATATCCAGCCAAACTTTTGATACACAATTTCAAGGAATGCTGATGATCTGTTTTGTCAGGTTTTCATCATTAGACATGCTTGTGTCTGACCATGTCGGCTACTCAGCTAAATTTGCTGAATTGTTTAATAAAGATCTTGATGTTGACACTGAACGGGTTATAGTAGAATTCAACTCTCCCCAAGCAACCCATCTTGGAAAGAACGGATCAACAATTGCTGAAATTAGAAAAGTTGCAGATTAATTGGCTGTATGGGAAGTTAGTTGAAACTTGACCTGATTTTTGTAAATCATTCATACAATTTTTCACAAAAGACTCACTGAGCTATTTTCGAAACTATATTATTATTTTTAACTAATTTTGAGTTTTTTAAACTAAATTATATCTAATTGTTGAAATTTATGGTATATTTTTAAAACCGACTAACTAAAATGATTTTATTAATCTGGGGTTGATTATTTTTACAGAAGTTTTTCACAGTTTGTGGAGTTGTAGATTGCTGTTGCGTATACTTATGTTTGCAATTCGTCCTATGCATTGAATCAGTGAAAAACAACTGAAATTGTTGTTATATCTTTATTTATCACCATCAGACTGTGATTTCTTTATCTAGTATTTGAACATAACCTTACTCCTTATAACCATTCGATCAGAATTTAATATGCAGTAAAACCCTGATTTACTGTGGAGTTTTAAAAAATGTGGGTATGCGGTAAATTATGCAATATATCAGGGTTTCAAATACCAGACTTAGTTGGTATTTTTCAGTTATATATTAAAATACAATAACTGCAGTGTAGGCAGAATCATGGCAGGACGAGGAAGCAAAGCAGGGGCTAGTGACGACACTGTCATCAGGATCCCACCTCACTTTTATATACATGTGCTGGATCTCAAATCCAATGTTACCAAACCTATAATCGGACCTGAGACCTTCGTCAGACAGGTACTGAGATGAAGAAGTTATTTCTTATTGCCATTTATAATTGAACTATTCACACTGCTACTTATAGAATTGCTGGTGTTTTACATATTATTTGATATAGTCAGATACATTAACTAGATATTGTTTTAATTTGTTACCATTTATTTTATGAAAAATTGAAAACCATGTGCATGTCCATTGTCCAATGTGATCCATAGCACTAAGATTTCATTTAGATACCAAAGGAACTTCCTGGATCAAAGTAAACATCACAATGCTGTTGTTATCTTAGCTAAATAAATACCGTTCCGATTTTATGCCTATCACTGCAAAATCACACCCAGAGCATTTTATATTAACCTACCTTTAACACTTTCTAATAATTTGAGCTAGCATGATGGTATTCAGAGGGCATTTGTAATGTACTGTGAGCTGGTGATGTCATCATACTGCCCATTACTGCATTACAATGACCATGCCTCCCCATTAGCTAGCAACTGCCAATAAGCTATATCATCATAAAAGTTTAAGTTTTAAGTGTAAAACTTATTTAAGCTCTAAGAGCTGACAATGTTATTTCAACCAAAGGGTGCGCATTTACATAATTACTAAGATTTAATAATGTTTTCAGGATAACGAGAAAGTGGTAGATGGACCCACTAAGATGGTGATAATCCCACCAAACCACTACTGTGTAGTTGCTAACCCTGTTATGAGAGATGAGGAGGGAGAGGTTCAGTTTGATCAGTACGGACAGGTATGTGTGTAAAGTTAGAGTACATTTAGAGTACATTTAGAGTACATTTAGAGTACATTTAAAGTATATTTCGAGTTCATTTCGAGTACATTTAAAGTACATTTAGAGTACATTTAGACTTAGAGTGCATTTAAAGTACATTTAAAATAAATGTAGAGTACATTTAAAATACATTTAAAGTACATTTAAGTTTGATCTGCGCACAAAGGAGCATGTCAAACATTTTAAGTCAATTTTAAATTTTCTTTCAATCTTTAATTGTAATGGACAATTTTTGGCACGCTATTATTTGCAATATATCAATTGTAATACTCCGTAATGCGTATTATATACATATTTTTGGATACCAAAAACAAAAGATAAAAAGTGTGAGTTATCTCAATGGTTCTTCTTACCACTGTCCTTTAGAAGTTAGCTAATAATTCTCGCGCTGCAGTGTAACCGTTATCTGCTTAGACCACTGCTTCTTCCTTGTAGAACTTCTCAACTTGGCTATGTATACAAGTTATACTGCACAAGGTAACGTGGCCTTTAGTATCAGTTTCAGTGAATTTTGCTTGATCAAATTAGGAGACTTCATAATAACAGAACATAAAATGAGAAACTCGTGGTGAGCAAGATAAGATAGCGGTCCAAGTTCGCAAATTTGTTCACTGATGGTACAATGTGGTGGAATGTGGTGGAATGTGGTGAGATGTGTTTACCCCCCCAGTTATCGGATGAAATACACCAGAGTTAAATTATTTGTACATAATTAGTGGCTGAGCTAACTGTATGGGATAAACTGTTCGCAGTGTACAAACTTTGTACATTTCATAACGTTAACGTTATGGAGCTCGCTTCCTACTCACAAACAAGGCGGAAGTTCAAATATTATAAATTGTTCCGGTGAGAATATTACCCACTGCTAGTTTTATTCACAGCTCAGTTTTATACACTGCTCTCACCCTCCCCCTGTACAGTGTACTACATGTTTTATACACTGCTCTCACCCTCTTTCTCAGGCTAAACTACTACACGCAGACCAAGAAGTACGTCTCACTCAAGAGCCCTTCCCTTTGTACCCCGGAGAGTCCATGGAGACCAAGGTAACCAAACTGCGCGCTGTTCCGACCAACACAGCACTCCGCCTGCGCGCTATCGCAGACTTCTCAGACTCTGACGGAACTAAGAGATGGGCTCACGATGAGTGGCTCTTTACTGGACCTGGTTCGTTATATAAGGGGGGGGGATCATGTTTAAATCTACAGTCATAACTCAAAAATGTTTACAAGATATTTGAAGGAGGCTGTAAAAACTGTTTTGAGGTGAAAACAGCAGGTAGCAAATTAGAATGTATGCAGCTGTATGCAGCCTTTAGTATAATATATTATACACCCTGACCACTATTTGATAGTGTTTATGGACCATAATCTCCATGTAAATACAGTATACACTCAAATAAACATAAAAGTACTGTGCAAGTAATCAGATAATATCATTAAAGCACTTAGCATATATCAAACTTGATGAAATTGAAGTTAATTCTAGGGCCCCAAAAGGCCCTACACATATCGAAAATCCAAAAAGGGCCCTAGAAATCGGGGCTTTTTGGGGCCTTTTGGGGCGTTGGCCCCCCCCCCCCCCCCCCCCCCCCCCCCTATAAAATATATTATGAAAATGTAACTATAGAATAGGTCGATAATTGTATTTCTTTTGTTCTAACAAAATGCCATCTGTAAATTTTCCAATAAGTTTGATATCGTTTTGAGATAAAATTGTTAACATGTTGTTGTGTTGACAAAACATCTGAAAGCTCCTCTCAATTAAGTAATAATATGCAGATAATGATGACGAAAGCTCAATACATTCAGCTAATCGTGTTATGTTTATTGTCTTGAGTAGTTCTAGTTTAATATCTCTACAAAGCAAGCCAGTGCGTGACTATAATTACCTATAATTACCTTCTGGAAGCAGCAGCTGATGATGTCACTCATTGGGAATGTGGTGATCTCACTCTCTCACTCTAGAATGATCTCACTCTTAGCTCTAATATTATTGATATCACATTTCAACCCACTGACCACTGGGACGAGTAAATCTTCATCTCAATCATAAATCTATTATTTACTGATGTCACTCCTTTGAAGTGCGATTCTTGAACTAAAATCACCTATATGGTGATATTAGTTCGATAATCTAACGAGCCAGTCTGATAAATGTACAAATCGCACACTATTGCAGTGATATTAATGTATTACACAGTACACACGTCACCTGTGTAACATCAGACTGGAAGGTATAGACACTCCAGTGTGTGATTGTTAAATGTTGAACACACTGCTACTGACACAACAGCTGCAGTTACATGACGAATATAATCTATTGTGACGTATTTGAATTCTGGTTATCTAGACTGAATTTTGCAAACCGGCGGCCAAGATAATAACCATATCATATCACCTACTTCCAGCCTGGTTCAGCCATCAGGTATTACAGTGAATAATTAGATTTCAATTTTCACCTGGCCTGTTTCTTACTATCTTTCTATCTGGCAGTTTTTATTAGCTTCTAGAAGGAATATTAAACTTCACACACCCTGAAGCAGTCTGGCTAAGTAACCCGTGAAGTGGTCACGTGACCAGCGAAATAGAAATCAGAAAGATATGAGTTCTTAGTAGATAACATGCAACTCTCCCCACAACTGATACACACGTTCAAGCTATAAACAATAGAGTTAACTCGAAACTCTCAAGCTTTGTCGTCTATTTTCTGCTTTAACAGTAACGTAATGTCGCCTAGTAAGCACTAAGCATGACGACAGCTTTCTCCGAGCTGATTACTCTAAGTTATTGAAATGATCTCATACTACCTAAATAACTTAACTTCAATATTTTCTGTATTAAATATTACTTTTTACAGGAACATACATACCCCACAAGAACGTGGAGGTTGTTGAGACGATCAGAGCGAGCATCATCAGTCCCAACCAGGCTCTCAGACTCAGGGCTCTCAAGGCATGCAAGGTATGTTAGTCCCAACCAGGCTCTCAGACTCAGGGCATGTAAGGTATGTTAGTCCCAACCAGGCTCTCAGACTCAGGGCATGTAAGGTATGTTAGTCCCAACCAGGCTCTCAGACTCAGGGCTCTCAAGGCATGTTAGTCCCAACCAGGCTCTCAGACTCAGGGCTCTCAAGGCATGCAAGGTATGTTAGTCCCAACCAGGCTCTCAGACTCAGGGCTCTCAAGGCATGCAAGGTATGTTAGTCCCAACCAGGCTCTCAGACTCAGGGGTCTCAAGGCATGCAAGGTATGTTAGTCCCAACCAGGCTCTCAGACTCAGGGCTCTCAAGGCATGTAAGGTATGTTAGTCCCAACCAGGCTCTCAGACTCAAGGCTCTCAAGGCATGTAAGGTATGTTAGTCCCAACCAGGCTCTCAGACTCAGGGCTCTCAAGGCATGTAAGGTATGTTAGTCCCAACCAGGCTCTCAGACTCAGGGCTCTCAAGACATGTAAGGTATGTTAGTCCCAACCAGCCTCTCAAACTCAAGGCATGTAAGGTATGTTAGTCCCAACCAGGCTCTCAGACTCAGGGCTCTCAAGGCATGTAAGGTATGTTAGTCCCAACCAGCCTCTCAAACTCAAGGCATGCAAGGTATGTTAGTCCCAACCAGGCTCTCAGACTCAGGGCTCTCAAGGCATGCAAGGTATGTTAGTCCCAACCAGGCTCTCAGACTCAAGGCTCTCAAGGCATGTAAGGTATGTTAGTCCCAACCAGGCTCTCAGACTCAAGGCTCTCAAGGCATGTAAGGTATGTTAGTCCCAACCAGGCTCTCAGACTCAGGGCTCTCAAGGCATGTAAGGTATGTTAGTCCCAACAAGGCTCTCAGACTCAAGGCTCTCAAGGCATGCAAGGTATGTGAGTGACACATGTCTGTTGAGAGAACCACACTCACGCTCTTGTCGTCACTCCAAAATGCGCCTCTAAGTGCTCAATGGAATGTCAGAGTCAGAGCTAAATAACAGCATATTAGCGTGTGTGTGACCCTGGGTAGTGTACTAGACACTAGTTCTGCTGAGTGTAACAATACTAATATTAGTATTTACCCAGGACCAGGGAGGAAAGGATCGAGTGTGTGGGGAGGAGTGGCTGATCAACAAGACTGGAGCGTACCTACCAGGTGCGTACGAGCAAGTTGTCGGGTTTATCTCCGCATACGTTTTGACAGAGAACATTGCGCTGCACCTGGAGGCCCTGCAGAGTTATAAGGATAGGTTTGATGTGGACAGGAAGAGTGGAGAACAGTGGCTTATCACCATCAACGTTAGTACAACTTGCAGTTACACTTTTACCTGGTGCTCAAATACTTTTACAATTGGGTGTGCAATGTAATAATTTCACTGCCGTCAAAGTTTTACTGTCACTAATAAAATAATTTTTCTAATCAGTTACACTTTTACCTAGTGCTTTATTAATTTTAAATACTTTCACTTTCATGGGTTTGGTAAAAGCAGTGATATATGTGTATGGTATCATTCCGAAACAAAAAACCGCTCAAATGTAAAATATATAGTACAAAAGATGTATTATATATGCTCCTTTACAAATGTAACTATCTGCAGGACTCTGAAGCGTTTATCCCGGACGTGTACGAGAATGTGATACAAGTAGTGAACATCTCCACACTGACTAACAGACAATACTGTGTCATACTCGACCCAATGGGAGAGGACGGTAAGAACAAGTTGGGACAGAGGAAACTGATAAAAGGAGAGAAGAGTTTCTTCTTGCAGCCAGGAGAGAGACTTGAGGCTGGATACAGGACGTTCATATTCTGGGGGAGGATGAGGCTATCATCATCAAGGCAGTGCTCGCTTTCAAGGACAATGTAAGTTATTATTATTGATACTGTCCGCTAGAAACTCCCACCCCCTCTCCCCCACTCCCTCTATTTAGTTATCATATTTAATATTCTTCATTGCTTGTAAAACAAATTGTCCTTGTAAACAACTAGTATAGGACACTATGGCGGAAGTCGCGAAGGCGGAAGACCCAAGGGCGAAGGACCCAAGGGCGAAGGATCCAAGGGCAGAAGTTTCCTAAAACGATCACATGTCTCACTTTATCATGGAAATATACACCGTCCTAAATATTGGATTAGTAATACTACAAAACCTGCTACATCACAAAATTTACTCCTAATTGTATCAATTATATTTCAATCATTTTAGTGATCCTGATTTTGAATTTAGGACATGTGATCGTTTTAGGCCCTCGCGTCTTCCGCCCTCTTGACCGATTCCCAAAGTTATTGAGCTCTGCTAGTGATACGTCCACATATCATGCAATCTACTGTGTTGCTAATGTCGGGGCGTCATGACAACCAAGTGGTACACAGAGATTGAGATATACTGTGTAGCTCTCTGCATCTCCACAGATCATATATCTGCACAATAGACAGAGCTTCACAGACCTGTTAAGTGTCCAGCTATGACAAGTACTTTTACACACTGTGTGGAATTGTAAGGAATGTGACGTATTTCTGAGAGAAAGATTGAGAGAGTGTGCTGACTTGTCATTAGTCCTTTATTTACTATCGGGCAGAGTTACCTGGTTACCATAACAACACTATATAGCTCTGCTTCTGAATATTCAATTACTTGTCCTCTTAATTCAGTCTCCTACAGGGTAAATTGTGAGTGTAACTGATTGTAACTGAGTGTAACTGATAGAGAGATAACTAACAGCTGTATTAGCTGTTTCAAACCTTATCTTACACACGTAATCTTGGGTGTCCAACGGATTTTAGCAATATTTACACTTAATGTGGTGTCTGTAGTGTTGTTTTTCCCTGAGTATAAGAACACTCAACAATATTCTACACTATTACTCTGTTTAAATAAACTCAGTCTCAGTAAATGTGTACTATCATGAAATTTGTGTTATCTGAACAATAGTTATTTTGGTAAAAATATGAAAAAATCACAATGTTTGCTCTAAGAGATATTATAAGGGGCATCCATACATTAATCAAAAATTAGGTAATATATATACATACATTATTATTTGATTGTTTCACACTTTTCACATTTCATAATTTTATTACTAGGTGGAGGTGATGTTATTGAGACTTTGGGCGGCCAAAAAACCCCTGTTCTGAAAGTTGTCCTCTGTACTTGTTTCACTGACCCACGCTTTTTAGCATTTATACATTTCGGCCCATTTTATATGTTTGTTCGAATTGCTGTACATTTGTATACTTGCTATTTTGTAAAAGTTTCAAATCAAATCAGGTATGGGAGTGTTCACATTTTCCGTCAGCAGATGGGCGGAGGACCTCCGGAGGTGTTATTGTGTACGTTACCATGGTAACTAACTAGTAACCATAGTAACTTTACCAGGGTGTAGACAGAGCTCCAGGCAACATGTGGATGATACGAGGACCCTGCGAGTTTATTCCCACAGTAGAGATGGAGATAATAGACAGGAGGAAAGCAATGCCCCTGGATGAGAACGAGGGTATATACGTGAGGGACATGAAAACTGGAAAGGTAGGTTTATCTTCTAATTGTGCACGTGTTATATTGTAACACGTGTTGTGTACGTCACAGGTGTTAGGAGGAAATTGTACTCGGAGCACACCACTCTAGTAGCACTATCTTTCTCAGTTACTGCTACTGAAGAGCAGATTTCATGGCTTACACAAATAAATATTCCATTTCCTAATAAAAAGTCCCTCAAGATATGCACGAATCGTTGTACATTGTAAAATATTTAATATTGAAAACAGTAATATAATAGTAAAACAGTAATATAAAATAATAATACATGTAAACTGAACAGGTGAGAGCAGTAGTTGGACAGACTTATGTGCTGAACCAAGATGAGGAACTGTGGGATAAACCTCTACCAGAACAAATAGAGAAACTTCTGAACGCAGAAATTGATCCTCTAGCTGACAGGACCGCTCGGGCACACAACAAGGAAACTAAAGGAAGACTGAAAAGCAAGGTCGTTAGCTACAGAGTACCGCATAATGCAGCTGCTCAGATCTACGACTACAAGGCTAAGAAGGCCAGGTAAAAACACTGCTTACTATTGTTGTATCTATTTTTGATTCTACACAAATATTTGAAAGTTGTACGGTTAGCAGTTGTCTCATTTTGTCAAGCTTATCTAAATTATGTGGTTCACACTCCCAATAAATCTGTATATATTATATATATATAATATATATGTGAATTTCGTGTTTTACTGTTTCACTGAATGTCTCAAATATATATATATATATATTATATTAATTCTCTGTCAGGGTTGTGTTTGTAAATCTGTCTGATATATTAATTCTCTGTCAGGGTTGTGTTTGGACCTGATCTGGTAATGTTGGCTCCAGATGAGCACTTCACCCAACTCTCCCTATCCGGAGGTAAACCAAAACGTCCCAACTGTATCCGATCTCTGTGTCTCCTGCTGGGACCCGACTTTATGACTGATATCATAACTGTAGAGACTAGTGACCACGCCCGACTTGCTCTGCAACTCTCTTACAATTGGCACTTTGAGCTATCTAAGGACAATGCTGAGAACGCTGCAGCGCTCTTCGCTGTACCTGACTTCGTGGGAGACTCGTGTAAAGCGCTCGCTTCTAGGATCAGAGGGGCTGTGGCGGCCGTGCCTTTTGATGACTTCCACAGGGTTAGTGGATTTATATTATATGATAATAGTTCGGGTCTTACTGTTTACTTATTATCTTAATGATATTGTGATATTTACCTTTCAGTAGATTAACTTGTTTTCAGATTTTATTAATAATGTAACTGTTTTCAGAACTCTGCTCGAATCATCAGAACATCTGTCTTTGGACTGGATGAGAATATGAAGGTTAGTTCATCTGATGTTACTAATTTTGTTTATTTCATTGTTTTATTCGTTGTATATAGACCCTTCTTTTTCCAGAAGAATTGTTTTGGTGCGTTAGAGCCATAAACTAATTAAATTATAGAGTAGAATGAATTTCATATGTCGCATCTGAAAAAATAAAGCTAAGGATCAGTTATATTAAAATGCTAATCTCTTGGCTCTAATATTATTACAGTTATATACGATCCCGTCACATTCAACATCTCAGTAAATGAATTAAAGGAATACATTACATAAAATTGTAAATAGTTCCTATATATCCCAGTATTTTATTTAACGTGGATCACAATCCATTAAAAGATCTTAACTATTAAATTACAGAAATCAAACCTTTTTAAGGTGAAGGACAGCTTCAAGTTCACTGCAAACAAACTAGTAATAACGAACGTGGATATCCAGTCAGTGGAACCCGTTGACCAGAGAACCCGAGATTCCCTCCAGAAATCCGTACAGTTGGCTATTGAGATCACTACTAATTCCCAGGAGGCTTCTGCTAGGTCAGCTTCTTATACATTATCCTTACGGCTTACATTTACACTTGTTTATTTATGCGCAGTGCGCACGATAGTATGAGATTATTTCTCTGTCCAATAAATTCTCCCTGAGCTACCCTGTATACTTTGATATTGATCCTGGACTGTTCATGCTGGACATATTACTCACATATTACTGGACATTTTACTCACATTTTGCTCCCCAAACCAAAACCAAAACCAAGATCGAAATCCGATGGGACACAATTTGACAGTTAGTCCCGATAATGGCCGCCGCGTTTTTAAGATCCTAGAGATCCCAGCGCATCACGCGTGTTTCGCTTGATCGATCGATCTGAAATATATACGCGCGTATAAATAATGCATGTCATATTATTACGTGGGATTATCGTGGTCACAAATGCACAAATGCATGATCTGATTTGTGCGAAAAATATTACAATTTTGTGCAAACAAGACTCCCACTGTTATAATGCCTGCAACCTTCTTCAGACATGAAGCTGAACGTCTTGAGCAGGGTGCTAAAGGTAAGCTGGAAAGACAAAAGATTCACGACGAGGCAGAGGCTGAGAAAGCCAGGACTGAATTGTTGAAACTGCAGTCCCTGTCAGCGGCTGTGGAGAGTACTGGTCAAGCCAAGGCAGAGGCATTGTCTCGTGCTGAATCCCTGAAGATTGAGGGTCAGGCTGCTGTCGAGCAGGCTCAACTCAAGGCAGAGGCTCAGAACATTGAAGCAGTAAGTATTATTAGACATCCTGAAAGTACAATACTTAATGAATTTAATTGAACATGCTATGCCATAATTTTTGCTCTAAGTTAGTCCTAACTTTTAATTCTTTTAGGAAAACGAGCTGAGGAGAATTAACGACGCCCGTAAAGGAGAACTGGAGTACATCAGCTCCACCAACGGTCTTGAGATATCAAAAGCGCAGAAGATGGCTGAGATTGAGACAGGCAAATTCCAGAACATGGTTACCACCCTTGGTCCTGAAAACATTGCCAGGATTGCTACCTCTGGTCATGACAACCAGGTATGTCTAAAACTTGGGAACTTAGTAATTAATTGCTATCTCGTAACTTTGTTTCATTCCCCCAAAACACCAGATCTCTCAAAATATCTGTTTCAATGTGCTGATATGTGATACTGTTTTATTTCAGTTGGCGATGTTGCAAGCCCTGGGACTACAGTCTACACTCATCACTGACGGTTCAACTCCTCTCAACCTCTTCAACACTGCTAAAGGACTCGTTGGTGCACTGCCTCCTCCACAGCATTAGCTGAGGAAATGAGAAATCTTGGGATAAAAACGGACATTTTCAAGCTGTTGACAGCGTCAAGAAACGCTTTATTTTTCACATAACATTCAAGTATATAAACTCAGTATGTTTGAGATTTATTAATAATAAACCTTCGTTAAGGAAGTATGTATTTCAGTTTTTTTGTGGATGATTTTATAGTGTTTTAGAGTAGTCAGTTTAATGTGAAAAAATTTAAAATGTATATTACATATTATTATTATTACATATTATTATGCTAGTTTTTCGCACAATGTGTCAATGATAATGAATTTCGCATCTTGTTAGAAACTTTAAAAGAATGATTGCTCGTTTAACAAAATGTTTTACTGTTTACCCAATGATTAGGTGGTGGATACTGGATATAAAGCGTAATTACTACAATTAAACGGATTACTGACCGCCTGTTTCTGTTCGATCACTCGCGATGTCAAAGATTCGATAATTAAAATATCCTGTCGTACTGAAAGCACAGTTGAAGCTATCTTGAAATGATATGAAAGTGTGAAAAGTGACAAGGTGTCCAATAAGCAACCTGCGCTCTGGTCAAGAGAGCGGGGTTATTGCTCGGCAGTTATCCAATTGACTAAGTGCACATTGTCCCGTATAGTTGTGCTACTACTGATTTGCAATGTTTCCTGCAGCTCGGACCTAAGTGCTATTCTCAACTTCTGATCGGACATTTAGCAGCACCCCGATCTCAAGATGATGCCCAGCGACAGGAAGTTTCTCCAGAGAAGGAGGTCTCTGCAGCTGGAACTGAGTCGGTACAACAGTTGTGTGGAACAAAGCAGGGTCTTCCGTCTCAAGGAAATCAACTCCGAGGTTCGAGCTTTCATACTGTGTTTTTATTGGTTGGTTTGTGTCACGTGGTACTGGTACTGTACTGTTACAGTGTTCTGATTAGCTGTCATATCGTAATTGGTTATTACTGACCTAAACAGATGAAGAAACTGCGGTGCACTAGAGGGACGCTAGAGAGGAAAGCAGTGGAGACCACGACAATACTTTCCACAAAGGAGATTACCAAGGTACACTCTGACTGCACCAATTTAATGTTCAAGTGACATCAGATTAAGAACAATGAGTCATTTCTGTGACCTGTCACCTAGAAGTCTCTGTCTTAATATGCAAATGATCAACTTTAAATTTTGATCGATGATTTATATGGTTACAAATTTTAAATACTCCGAGAACTAAACTGGAAGTTTTGTAGCGATACCATTGTTATACTTAAATGTAGGTTCGGACCACGACCGTGTGGTTGTTCGGTTGTGACGTGTAGTTGTTCGGTTGTGACGAGTGATTGCTCAGTTGTGACGTGTGGTTGTTCGGTTGTGACGAGTGATTGTTCGGTTGTGACGTGTGGTTGTTCGGTTGTGACGCGAAGTTGTTCGGTTGTGACGTGTGGTTGTTCGGTTGTGCGGTTGTGACGTGTGGTTGTTCGGTTGTGACGTGTGGTTGTTCGGTTGTGCGAGCCTGATATATTCATAACTAAATATATCTCAGATTGAAAAGGAGAATGATACAGAGAGTTTGGAAAGTCTGAGAGCTTGGAGTATAACTAACTATGGGATCATGATGGAACGCTCTAAAACATTCTTCAGTTACAAAGACAGGTGTTCCTTTATGTAATACTGTCTATGTGAGAGTGTTACACACTTACACTGGCCATCTTCTCTTACGACCATGTTCAATAATATAATTATATCTTGGCGGTTGCCTTGGTCAGTTTGAGTTATTGCTTCACAGATCATACCATAGGACCTCAAGTTAACAAATAAGTAGCCAACATTGGCCGAAGCTGGTTTGGTGACAGTTAGGGATCGTTCACATATTACGTAGAATGTGAAAGATCACTTAAATTGCTACGAACGAAGAAATGGCCGCTACGGTAACAGTCAGTTCAAACTTTGTTAAGTTCACAACTTTTCATCAATAATATCACGTGACAGCGGAAACCATAGCAACTAATTCAGGACAGAGACAGGGCTGATGGCGATAGTTGAAGAGCAGGCAGAGGGACAGTGCGGGGAGAGGAGCTCCCTAACGGCACCTTCCAGACCATTCCACAGCGTCCAGCGGAGAGTTCACATTCCTTCTGGCTCTATTGTTAGGTATACAGGCAATAAAATGATATTTCACTGATTAACTCGACACAATTGTAGGAGTCAGGGGTCGCCTTGTTTGGTACTTATGACTGATAAAGAGGCCAGTTCGGTGTTTTCTAATGGTTTGGTTTGTTTCAGGTCCAAGACGAGTATTGAGGAGCCAAGTCCTCATACCAAAAGATGGGATGCAAAGTTCTTCCCGTTTCTACTGAAAGCTCAAAACAAAGCAGGGTTTTGTAAAACACAGGTCCCTTCTGTTACCAGGGTAACCCCGTTAGTTACTAAAGTTACCCCGTTAGTAACCAGGGTAACCCCTTCAGTATCCGGGGTAATCCCCTCAATCTCTCCTGATAAGAACAGATCTCCTGCCACTAACACAGGTCAGTTTTACTAAGGCAGAAGTTTAGCTCACGTAATATGGGAATGTGTCCGTTAAATGTAAACTATATCTCGAAATTTCAGAGCAGTCGCCAGTAGATAACGAGGAAGAAGAGAAGAAAGAAGGATCAGTGAAGAGTGAGGAACAGAAGGATAAGTTCGAGGATCTGATGTACTACAAAAGCAGGAAATCAGGGAGCGTCCTGGTGCCGAACCCAGTTCACTACTCCGCCATCAGATCAATCAGACCCACAACGCCGGAAAAACCAGCCCAGCTTCCATCTACTGTTAGAATCAGAACCCTCACCAGGAACAAAACCACTTTTTTGTAACTCACCATTTATGTTTTTATCACACAGTAAGACAAACAGTTTACTGACAGAATACAAAAGCAAAAATGTATTAACATCACTTTCAAGGTGTAAACTGTAAAGTATAACAGCTCTAATCAATATATCCAGTAAATGGGATGTGGGTGTCGACATAATATCTGTACACTTTATTTTAGATGAACGTTTTTAAAACCGTTTAGATCGACATCCACTGTACCCTTAAATTTGGTTCAAGTTACTTAATTAATTAATTAATGTAACGTAATCAGTTTATAAACCAGTAGTGATAATTATTACATAACTAATCATAATCATGTTATAATTAATTACATATTTGTCTTTAAATGACTCAGCGCACAGTACAGCCGTCATAAGAGGTGGAGCGTATCAAAAGAGCACATGGTACAAAATATTCAACATTATTAGAATAGTCAAAACGGAGAGCTGATTACACTTTAATCATTTAATTGCATTTTACAAAAGCGTCACTCAAGAGACACATTTACAACCTCTATGCGAACATCATCACAATGAAATGATCTTTTTTTTTCAATGCAATTAAAAGGTCCGCCCGGTGCGTGTCTCCTATTACAATGTGACATCGTAATAATATTCATACCACAATAAGTTAATAAAAAGTTTATAAAAACGCAAACATAGACCTATTCATCTGGAGGCAGGCAGCGAGCAAATAATAAATATTAGAATTGTTTTTACGTTTAAATGTACAAATCTAGCATGCACATTTAGTCAAGGTACACATTTCTATCTAACATTTGGACAGACTTCAGACTTGAGGTTTGATGTGGCAACTATATAATCTTTTAAAGGATAAAGTATTTTAAGAGTCGTAAGAAAGAAGACTGATGTACTAGATGTGCAGCCGGGTGACGTGTAGGATTGCTTTAGGGTAATCCTAGAGTGGAATCCTAGGCTGCATAAGGTACCTTAAGTGGGGTAAATTTGGGCTTTGGGAGTAATGGGAGTGCTTGAGTGGGTACATGGTTGCATACGAGATACATCGGTCTTCTTTTGATGACAGATAAGCTAACTTAAAAGAAGACCTTAAATAACAAAACTAAATCGCACATTAGTCAAACTTAAAAGCTAAGGAAATCAAAATAAGATTAATCACTAATCAGTATAATTGACCGGCGTGAGGGCCTATTAACGGGGCAGCTTCTGATAACACCTGTATTCACAGCACCTTCAGTACCGAGTAAGATTACAGTATTTCGTTTTGTTTCTTCTTTCATTGGAATTCATTCGCCAACTTGTTATTTAATATCCTCGTTAAAGAGGCCAGTGATGTTCACTACACTTTTACTTCGTTATTTAGAGAGTCTCTGAAGGCCAATAGAGATTTCTTCACCCTAAGAGCAGTAAGTCTGGCACCGGGATCATGATACCAGCATTCTTGTACCAACTTCTCCATCAACCTCAAATACTGAAATTTGATTATGTTAATCATCTACTCATCTGGAAAAATATCATTGATTGAATCACACTGGGCGGCGCTCAGCCTGTCATTCCACCATATCTCCAACCGGTGTTTACAACACTAAGCCTGGGGTCCTCAGGTAAATGTAATCTTACTTCAGAGTGATAATGTACAGGACTCTACAGGACACCTCTTAACTGGGTATACACTGATAAAGAGACAACTTGGCACAGATCCAACATTCAAACTTTGTTAATCAATTTCCGTAATATGTCTACTGACTCTTCCACTCAAGACTCACTATATATTATGTGTCTAGCGGATAAAAAGAAAATAGGTCAGAAATTGGTACCATTTACCATCCCCAGTAGATTTTTTAACGAATGATGCTGATTTGAACAGGTTCCCCTAACTTTTTAGACGAAAATTGTCATTATGAGTAGGAAATTAATAGGAATATGGACGAAAGGAAAATGTAGGAGTAATGAGTAATGGCATGTCTGGCGCATCAAGGAAACTTAGAATTTGCAAGTCTGGCCCATGTCTGCTGCAAAACAGCGCGCTCAACGCGCGGCAAAAACAGCGCGTATTTTCCTCAATATTATTAGAAATATGTCGTCGCGCGCTACAGTTAATCAATTCTTTTGTCTCTAAAATAGACGTCTGTTCAAGACGCTCAAAGCGTAAATTAGAAGAGCTTCTTACTGTCTAAAATACGCAGGAACTGGCCGCTGGTTTTACACACAGGTCAGGTCACATTGTTACGCTTTTAACCGTGACTAATACCAGGACAAATCACTGTATACAATTAACTGGTCCACTGTTGGCAGGAGTTATAAAATGTAAGTCTAGACAGTGACGCAACTCCCCCCTTTACCACCACCCTGCCCTAATGGCCTGCCATTTATCACCGTCTGAGACGCGCTATGTACATATCATTACTGTGGCTTTGTCGGCCAACTCGCCTCGTCTGACCGTACCATGTTTGCTACACGTGTACATGAGTAATGTACAGAGATTTATTGTACAATAGAAATATCAATTAGCCAACATCAAAGAGGCAATGTAAGGAAGCACTTGAAGAGATATTAGAAATTCAGCCGTAACACGTAAACCTTACAATAGTTAGTAATGTTTATAGTAAGCAATAGGACCGGGCTCAGTTATTGTCATGCAACTTGTATAAGAGCAGTCTTGGGGGGTATTGGAGTGACCACTACAAGTTTGAGGCAAATTAGTGCCACGAATTAGGATGCCACATGGTGTCCCAAGTGAGACCCAACGAAAAGTGAGGCTCAAATAACAGCCGAGTAGACTTGATAATTTATCACATTTTCTGTCTAATCTGAGGGATAGCATGCCAGATGAGACAGACATACACTGCAATAGAACACTAAATTCAAAGTTCAGTAAATAGACTTACATCTAATAACTTTAGACTTCTTACTTAGTGGTGCGGTTTAACTATTTGAATTGTTTGTTAAGCTGGCTACTTAATACAAAAGTCATGTAGCTAGTCAAGAGACATTCATTAAGTTAATCAACCATTGGTCATCAGCACAATAACAATTTTAGAGTACCAGCTGAGAAACTAAAGACAGATTATGCTGAGCATTGGGAGGCATTATACTTCATATAAAATTATGTGTCTAACTCCTAACATTGCTGAATAATTAGGGTAATTATGAGATGGTTATTGTGGAGTTGGCGGGGGTAATGGTTAAATTGATAACGGTATCACCAAGACATCATTAACATTTAGACGAGACTTTGCACAAAGATAACAATCAGTCTACTTATGCACATGTAATCACAGATGATTTCGTTTTCATAGACTTAAATAAAACGTTTTATAGTGCTTCAAAACAATAAGGATAAAATTTCAACAATAAACGTGTTGCGCAACCAAAACTCAGGATCATGTGATGTAAATCGACCAATAAGAAAGAAGCTCACCTCGTCACTACCCCAATGTCTGGAGATTGCAGGTCTGCACCTGTCAACTACCACCACCTTCCGCATCTCCTCCACAGTGGGGTCAGGAGCAACGTACTCGTGATAGGGCTGTCTGTATTCCTCTACTATTGGGGCACCTGAAACAGTGGGGTCAGGAGCAACGTACTCGTGATAGGGCCCTCTCTATTCCTCGACAATCGTGTAAAAATATGGGGGTAACGGTATATCGGGGCCATGAAATCAGGCTTTAACTGTACGTGATAGGGGATATGATATTAGCAACAGGGATATGTAATATGTATTGTTAATTTTATAAATTAAAAAACAAATCATGAAATATCTCGTTGTCCAAAATATATATTTTCTGACATAGCGGTGCGATTCAGCGGTGATAGAACAAAGTGTAAAATATAAGTAACAATCGCGCTTGTTTGATAACGGCTTGTATTTTATTAAAACTCATATTGAATTTCAATGTTCTGATAGATTCATTTCCCAAGCTACCAAAACGGGTATAAACGTATAATCGAGTAGAGAAACGCTGAAATCACCCCAACAATTAGAAGACCACGTGACACAAGCTAACCAGTAACCAATCAGAAGGCAGTATAGCGGCAGGTATGCTCTCAAATAGTGTGTATTTCAAGGTGGTATTTTTATTGAACACTATCAGAGGAATCGGAGGTAGGAAAATGACGCGTTATGATTGGTTGGTTTGTGCCACGTGGTGCTGATGCTGTGTCCTGATTGGTTGGTTTGTGCCACGTGGTGCTGATGCTGTGTCCTGATTGGTTGGTTTGGTTTAGGCGAGCTCTCTTATTGGTGATTTGAGGCAACGTGACTGTCTGGAGTAAGCGACTTTAGCTTATTAACACCATTTACGGGCCCCGAATATAAGGAGGATCGGGAAGCCATGACTTCTAATTCTACAAACCACCGCATCATATAACATCTTTAACATACCTAATACCTACCGGCTACCATCTTACAATAATTCTTATAAATCCATACAAATTACAACCCCATTCATGTAGTCTGCTGGGATCAAATGAGAACGGAGTTTTCAGACTTGGGTATATATCTTATTGAACATGCTCTTCTTTGAACATGCTCTTCTATTTGAACATGCTCTTCTCAACGCAAAAGACACCATTCTTAATTCAATGTCTAAAAAGCAGGTAACTTTACTTACTTATTACTTTACTTCTTTTAATCGACTTCAGCAAAGCTTTCGACCTTGTGGATCATTCCATACTCTTGCGCAAGCTGGACCATTACGGCATAAGGGGTCAAGCCTTAAACTGGTTTAAGTCATGTCTCACTAACAGGAAACAGTTTGTATCAATTGGCTCGTCAAAATCTTCAACCAACCAAATTTTATACGGCGTGCCTCAAGGGTCAATATTAGGACCTTTACTTTTTATAATCTACATAAACGACCTACCTCAAATATCAGATATAGCAAATTTCATTATGTACGCAGATGATGCCAACATCTTCCTGATAGGAGAAAATCTTAATGAAGTTTACGATAAACTAATAACTCTTAGCGATGCTTTAGTTAAATGGGTAGATAATAATGGTTTAGCTCTCAACCTTAAGAAAACAAATTATATGATCTTCTCTCGACAAAGAAATCTTAATTATCGTGATGTGGCAATTTCTGGTGTCACAATTGAGAGAAAAACAGAAGCCCGTTTTTTAGGAGTTATAATAGATGATAAACTAAACTGGTCCCATCATATTTCTGCCATGAAAATGAAAATGTCCAGATACATAGGAGTCATGTACAAACTTAAAAAATATCTGCCTCTCGAAGCACGTCTTCAAATTTATCAAAGTTTTGTGCAGTCACACCTTAATTATTGCAGCCTTGTATGGGGTTTTGCTGCCAAGTCTCATATTGAATCGCTTTTTGTAAAACAGAAAATGGGCCTTCGAGCAGTATTACCTGGTTTCGTCAATTACTGGTACAAGGACGGTATCCCCCCAGCAAGTACCAAGTCTGGCTTTTATTCACATAAAATATTGACAGTACACAGTATCATTGTAAAGAACGCACTCATTTTAATGCATAAATTGAAAAACTTTCCTAATCTAGTACCATTGTCTCTCAAGAAAACAATTCCCAAAAGTGCACCATTATTTAATACTAACCTGGATTCTATTCTCACTACACAATGGTCAGAAAAGTATGGTCAACACCCTTACAACAACTCAGTATTTTTTAAAGGTCCACTATTAGCAATAAACCGATATAATGTTGCAGCAACTTCCCCGCCTAGTCTATTTAACCTGAACATTTACAAAACTTGTATAAAAACTATGCTCATCGATCAGCAAAATGAAAACATCGAAGACGATTGGCCTAATTTCATGTTATATTGTATAACAGGACTAAGAAAATCAAAGCGTAACATAAACCAAAATGCCGATAATAACCTTGTCTCTACATCTTAGATTATATGCACACACTTATGCATCACTCAATAATCGTCGCATATCTCATCAATTACACTGCCAACATAGGACATTCTTTTTTATCGCCGCGATTTCAAATCAAGTTACAAATTCTACAAATTTTGAAGTGCTCAGTCTTGTTTTACTTTTCTTATCTTTACCTATTAACCATTGGAAAATAAAACTTTAAATTATAAACCTTCATTGCATACTTTACCGGTAGAATCTAAATTGAATAGTTTGAGATTTCCTTTACATTTTATATTTATGCATGTGCCCCACGGGGATGAATTTCTTATTACCATTGATATTATATATATTTTTTGAGTAAACATTGGCTGGTACCACGGGCCAGTCCCCAACAAAAAAAAAAAATGAAGGAACCAATCTGAACGCATCATCAGTACCACGTGACACAAAACGACCTATCAGAACACAGTAAACACTGGACCAGAAAAGACGGTCTAACGTATCTCAAGTCTTGGTATTTTATTAAATCATCGGATATATAAAATCCTAAGCCAACAATTCTTTAGTCGAGTTATAATAATTAAGGCTTACTGAACACTATCACCCCGTGTTAACAAAGGGGCGACAACACCTGCATTATACTCTCAAACTAACCAATCAGAACACAGTATCAATACCACATGGCACAAATTAACCAATCAGAACGCGATCTGGTGGATTCGTGTAGTGTTATAGAGTCTCATGATTTGATAGGTCTTTCATTCAAATTTCTGATTGTTTCTGAATAGACTCAGTGAAGACAGATTCTAATGGAAATAAATAGCTGAATAACGCATATTCTCAATAAATGTAATAGATTTGTAGTGTTGTAATTAGTTTAAACTAATTACAACACTACAACACTAGTTCGGATAATAGAATTATTTTCTATTAGCTCTTACATTATGCAACTCAGAATATGCTCACTTTTCTTACTAATTATATATTATGTATTATATCAGTGTTTAATGTTTATAAAGTTAAGTGTATCATTATATTTATAAACTTATTAAGTTAATTGTAAAGTCAACTAATTATTAATTTATGTTTGAATTTAACAAATACTTACTCGCATTAACAGTCCTACAAGCGATTTCCCACATAACTAGCCCGAAGGAGTAGATATCAGATTTACAATAGCTATCAAAAGAGCGAGGATTTAGCTTGTCGTCCAACACTTCAGGAGCCATATATCTGAAAGAGGAGATTATTTCCAATAATCTTATACTTTTATACAAATATTCTTAACAAGCACTTGCTAATTGCACGAATAAAATGAAAAGTAAGTGAACTTCAGTTAAACTGAAGAATATTAATTTAAAATAACTTTTATGTTGTCACAGTATGATATCTAAACATGGACCAATAACAGTACGCCATCTGACACAAACTAATGAGATGGAACAATGGCAAACTTTCTTATTAACTAATACTATCAACGTTTACTTAATATCAAGTTTTAACTACATTAAGTTTCGAGTTATAAAAATATAGTTTGAGCAGGACTTGACATTGTACATTGAGATGTAGAAAAAGAACTAGGTTGCCTAGGTAACCTAGTATTTGCTCCACATCAGGCTCAAATACGAATTCTCTGTAACATTCCATTTCACTCAATTTTATTTAGTTATCAATACCGTAATCATATTTTCCTGGCTTAAAGATTCCCCCTCATTTTATTTTATTATATTGAACAATTTCCGGTGCATGTGTTAGAATCCATCCCTTTAATTTCACAGTGTAGAGTGTGACGGAATCCTGTCAGTGATATAGGGGTCATGCTGAGAGAACCAATCAAAAGCTAGCAAATTAGGAGTCTGACCAATCAGGCGCTAGAGAATATAGAGTGTGATTCAGGTAACCAATAAGAGTGAGATGTGAAACTTGATCCCACATTTTCTAAGTCTGGTTGAGAAATGGGTGAAAACTGAAAACTGGTACGACATTCGGTCAATTAGTGTTAACATCATCACGTGCAGAGAAGTTACGTCACGTGCAGTGACGTTATATCACGTGCAGTGACGTCATATCACAATTCAAAACGTGACGTCACACGTCTTATAACATATAAATTATAAATGGTATTTTTAAACACAACTAAACACTATAAAGGGAGATGGAACGATTAATTTTGATCGATTTTAATTAATTTTGACTAAACTTGACTGATCTTAACTTTTACAAATTGAGTTTTGAAGCATATTTGCTCAGTAGTGTTTTCTGAAACCTTGTACCATTATCATATCACATAATCACACGGCATTTCTGTCACCCGCACATCAGACCTCTATCTAATGTACCCTAAATATAACATATTACACTATCTTAGTACAGTATCACAAGTTGTTAGCCATTGATTTGCAGTCTGATCCAATTAATATGTAATGGGCCCAACTCTAAGTAAACGCAGAAGTAGTTCACTATATATCTTGACTATGTTTGATTCTATTTTATGATCGCTAATACTGTAATGCCTGTACTCTGTAAATAAACAAAACATTCGGAGTAACTATCTTTTCCCAGTCGTTCCAAAAGCGTTAATATCCACAGAAAGCGTGTTAATACTTATTACCCAGGCATCTTAACTTTCCACAGACGGGTTCGAACCACAAAACTTGCATAATATTAAACGTTTTACCGACAATAAGAGACTATGCTATCACTTTACCACGAATATTTGAACTCGGAAGAACAGATCATTACATCAGATAAGAACCGAAAGTTAAGCCTAACTGGGGACGAGACGGTGCCGGCACAAACCAACCAATCAGAACACAGTATGCACTGCACGTGACACAAACCGACCAATCAGAACACAGTATACACAGCACGTGACACACAGGGCAGGACGGGAGGGTGGTCGGTACTGATGACCCTCTAAAAGTGTCGGTCTACATTTATCTGTGTCCTAAGCTAGGCTTCTTTCATTTAATTTGTGTCCTGAGGTCCCTAGTCAGACTCCATTGTGAATATTTGCATATTATTCCAGTGAATACATAAAATAAAATCAACACGGTCTGACTAAGTTTTTACGATAATTTCAGGCAGTTATTTGTCTTAACAATGTCCTAACCAGAGCGTTATAGCGACATAATTATTACAAGAGTTATATCTTTGTGTTTAAAGCAAGGGACATGGCATGGACCAATCAAAACACCGTCATATCACACCGTGACAAAAACCCACCAACCAGAAACGCGGACATTGGGGCGGTCACTGCGCCAGATCTGAGTTATTCCCGGTCGGAGAGTCGTGGCTGGCTAAGTGAATGTAACGTCTATTTTCAGAAAGAGAAGTAGCCAATCAGAGCACATTATCCCACGCATGACGCACGTGACACAAACTAACCAACCAGAACGCAGTATCAGTACCACGTGTAGAATGGAGATGAGTACTGCAGCATTGATTGAGGCTCTCACATAAGAAAATGTAGGCCAATCATGAGAGTGAGAAATCTAAACCACCATGTCAGATCTGAAAACCAACACTACTACAGGTCCTACAGGTGGGAACTAGAGGTGGGAACTAGAGGTGGGAACTGGAGGTGGGAACTAGAGGTGGGAACTAGAGGTGGGAACTGGAGGTGGGAACTGGAGGTGGGAACTAGAGGTGCGGGTGGTGGCCAGGTACACTAAGTGGGCGGAGTCTGGTTACTAGTCGCTGCTAGACAACAGTAGTTGATGTCTAGACCACATGAAGATACCCAGTCAGTATACCTGCAAGGTCTGACTCTCAGAACAGCTGCGTCTCCTTTCAACAGACTGTTTGACTCTAGCTCTACTACCCGTATAAGAGTAGTGTGAGGGCAGTACACGCTGCTGTGGGTTACAATACATTGAGCATTATACTATACCCCGCACTGACACACTCAGAGCGTATAATACCATGTACTTTTCAAATATGTGAGGTATTCGGGAGCTGCATTACTTTATACAATACACAGACTCTATACAATACACAGAATTTAAGTTATACAATACACAGAATTTATTTATAATATATTTAAAACTGTATTGAATCAATACACTAACCTTAATCAATGCTTCAGCAAGGGGTGAAAAAGAAGTAAACAAAATAGTTGTAAACAAACCATTCTAGGTTTATTGTTATTGAAAGTCTGTTTTTAAAGAAAATAACAACAATCAACATCCTTAATATTACTTCTTTAAAAAGAAGTAGTATTAAGATTGTTGTTATTATCTAGTTTAAAGAACTGACCTCTTAGTTCCGACCCTGTGATCTGGAGGCCGTTCTACTTCATCGTTCTTACTGTCGTGTCTTACAGCGAGCCCCAGGTCGTTAATACAGCACTCCATGTTACTCTTTACTAGGATATTCTTACTCTTCATGTCTCTATGTGCTATTGCTGGCTTGTATCCTGAAACATGGAGGTTGGTTACTTAGTTACAACAATCAACAACAGCTACAGATACAGTAACATTACAGTGTTAGGTATCTTAAGTTATTTGTGAAGATATTACTGGAGAATCGGAGATGTTTTGAGAGAGGTGGTTTTTGAAACACAGTAAGTTAAGATCTGTAATGCAAGATGAGTCAGTATGAAAATGAGAAATTCATAATTTAGAGACAATGAAAGATTTTATTTTTTAATAGTTAATACTATGTTTAGTGTTTACAGTATGCACAGTGCACTGAAGGGGTATCCTAGGAAGTTTCTTGAACTTTTAACAGGTATCCCTCCTCATTTAACCCTCAATCAAGTTTCCTATCATTCGGCTGAGTCGACCGAAGAGATCATATAGATCCAATGGATCCTTAGCTAATTCCTAGAATCTTCTGCGCAGTTCGAAGTTATTAGGTTAAAGGTTGCTAGGCCACTAAGGTACAGGTTGCTAGGGTACAGGTTGCTAGGCCACTAAGGTACAGGTTGCTAGGCTCTAGGGTACACGTTGCTAGGCCACTAAGGTACAGGTTGCTAGGGTACAGGTTGCTAGGCCACTAAGGTACAGGTTGCTAGGGTACAGGTTGCTAGGCCACTAAGGTACAGGTTGCTAGGCTCTAGGGTACACGTTGCTAGGCCACTAAGGTACAGGTTGCTAGGGTACAGGTTGCTAGGCCACTAAGGTACAGGTTGCTAGCATACAGTTTACTGCGGGCCGGGCCCATATAATTAGCTACTTTTTAACCAGTGATAACGGTTTATATTAGGACACTCGTCGCCATGGTAACGATTAATTGTCCTCCAGTCATTAGCAATAGTTTCAAGTTGTAATAAAAGGGATATAATATTTCAATCTCACAACATGGTAACATTCCCCTGGTAACAGAACTCAGCAACTATAACCTGAGAGCAAGTTACTAGTAGCAGCTCCCTGGCCATACACTAGCTAAATGTAACGAGGGGCCAGTTGTGAGGGTGCAGCACACACACACACTGCATTAGAGGCTGCCTACATAAAGGCTTAACCACCCCCCCCCCCCCCCCCCCCCCCCTTAAAGATAAACCACTCACTACTCAGCTGTAACAGTGTTATTGTGGCCACGAGGCAATGTTGCGTAAAAGAGCAGGTAAGTGTTGCCTAATCTGATCCCCTTTTCCAAGCAGGCTGGTTGAACCTTTTGACACGAGCCATTCAGCTCCTTACAAGGAGCTATTCAACGCCCCTTCTTACTTAAGACTAGGTAAAGACCATGTTACGACTCCTCTCATCAATGTGACTAATATCGGGGTGACCAGTTTATCCCTTTGTACAGACAACATATTTCCAGACTAATTAGGCTGGAGAAAATGCTTTGAAAGCCTCATGAATTAAAAGCAATAATCTAATAGGGCAGTAATGATAACGTGACCGGGTCAAGTAAGCAGAGATTGGTTGCTTAGATACCACGTGTGAGGACGGTGACCAGGGATAGGTTGCTAGGCTACCACGTGACAGGACGGTGACCAGGGATTGGCGGGACTGATTACCGGTCTAATCAGAACAGTCCGGGCTAAGTAGGGATCATTACCAGAGAGAGGGAGAGAGAGGGCTGAGTATTATAAAATTTGAGGAAGAATTACAGGAGGATTTGAGACATGTCCGATATAAAGCTGAGTTAACAGCTGATGTTTAAAATAGCAGATACTGTACTGTTGAAACATTACAAAGTGTGTGTGAGTTCACACTAATTATACACGCTTATCAACACTAGCTCCTCAAACTAGCAGTGTTTACCTCCCTTCACAAACTAGCAGTGTTTACCTCCCTTCACAAACTAGCAGTGTTTACCTCCCTTCACAAACTAGCAGTGTTTACCTCCCTTCACAAACTAGCAGTGTTTACCTCCCTTCACAAACTAGCAGTGTTTACCTCCCTTCACAAACTAGCAGTGTTTACCTCGCTTCACAAACTAGCAGTGTTAACCTCCCTTCACAAACTAGCAGGCTTTACCTCCCTTCACAAACTAGCAGTGTTTACCTCCCTTCACAAACTAGCAGTGTTTACATCGCTTCACAAACTAGCAGTGTTTACCTCGCTTCACAAACTAGCAGTGTTTACCTCCCTTCACAAACTAGCAGTGTTTACCTCCCTTCACAAACTAGCAGTGTTTACCTCCCTTCACAAACTAGCAGTGTTTACCTCCCTTCACAAACTAGCAGAGTTTACCTCCCTTCACAAACTAGCAGAGTTTACCTCCCTTCACAAACTAGCAGAGTTTACCTCCCTTCACAAACTAGCAGTGTTTACCTCCCTTCACAAACTAGCAGTGTTTACCTCCCTTCACAAACTAGCAGTGTTTACCTCCCTTCACAAACTAGCAGTGTTTACCTCCCTTCACAAACTAGCAGAGTTTACCTCCCTTCACAAACTAGCAGTGTTTACCTCCCTTCACAAACTAGCAGTGTTTACCTCCCTTCACAAACTAGCAGTGTTTACCTCCCTTCACAAACTAGCAGAGTTTACCTCCCTTCACAAACTAGCAGTGTTTACCTCCCTTCACAAACTAGCAGAGTTTACCTCCCTTCACAAACTAGCAGTGTTTACCTCCCTTCACAAACTAGCAGTGTTTACCTCCCTTCACAAACTAGCAGTGTTTACCTCCCTTCACAAACTAGCAGTGTTTACCTCCCTTCACAAACTAGCAGTGTTTACCTCCCTTCACAAACTAGCAGTGTTTACCTCCCTTCACAAACTAGCAGTGTTTACCTCCCTTCACAAACTAGCAGTGCAGCATTACCTCCCTCCGCAGAGTATCTCACATTGGTTACAGCTCACTGAACTTCTGTGAAACTGGTTTAATCACATGGAACACTGGGCACACTTATCACGGTTAAGAAGTACAGAGATAACAGTGAAACTGGTTTAATCACATGGAACACTGGGCACACTTATCACGGTTAAGAAGTACAGAGATAACAGTACAACTGTACAATAATGCGGTGCATTGTAGCGGTGCGATAGTGCAATACAGCTACATTGCGCCGCTTCATTGCGCCGCATTGAAATAGAACATTGTAGCGGTGCACCGCTTCATAATAATTGCGCCGCATTGCAATGTAGCATTGAAGCGGTGACCCGTGACACAAACAAACAGAAGTGACCAGACACAAAGCTTCAGATACACAATATGTTACCCAGTTGATAAATGTTCTCTTAATTCTCATGACCTTTGTATCGTTCAAACTATTGTTATGTTTTCATGAACGCAGACTGCAGACCAAACAAATATCTCATCGGGGATAATATAATGAAACAAATCTGTGGCACCGCTGACAAAATCATAATAATTTTACTGACACATCACAATGGTGGTTGTAAAGTGAAAGTGAAAGTGCGCGGTATGTATCTGAAGTACAGTGGTTGTTTCAAACTTAAATAAATTGAATGTGTAGAATATTTACCTGAGGTACAGTGATAGTTGTATAGTGAAAGTGAATGTGTATTTACCTGAGGTACAGTGATAGTTGTATAGTGAAAGTGAATGTGTATTTACCTGAGGTACAGTGATAGTTGTTTATTGAAAGTGAATGTGTATTTACCTGAGGTACAGTGGTAGTTGTTCCCATTAGCGTTCAGAGTACCGCTGGTCCCCCTAATCTCGCTATGTAAGAAGGTAAGCCCGTTTGCTATGGACAGGGCGAATATGAGCATGTCGTAGTTATTGAGGGTGTTCTGCGAGAGGAAGTCGTAAAGAGAGCCCAGCTCGTGGTATTCCGTTATCAGCCACAACTCCGTCCAGTTACCTGTGAAAGTGACACTATATAGTCAACTGTATACACTACTGTGTAATACTACGTTCTCTCAAAAATCCTGACTGTAGTACCTACGTGTATAATTAATTTCTCAAACTTAGAGTTAGAGGTCCTCTAAAATGTGATGTCTGAAGAGAGCCAGTAGAGTGTTAGAGGTCCTCTAAAATGTGATGTCTGAAGAGAGCCAGTAGAGTGAGCCAGCTATAGAATTACTAATAAGATTACTGAGAACTAACTCCATTTCTAAACAATAACTATTGAATGCCATGAGACACAGCCTGTATACGCACTACACCACGTGACCTGATCCCACCCAGTCAGGGACCTGCTGCAACTCACCCGACTGGAGGATTTTCAGGGGTTACAGAGTTCCATCTGTAGTACAATGAGTTATTTGTCCTCTATTGACAAATGGGAGGCCGGCATTCCTGTTGCTCAGACTGCGCGGTATTTCCTGTCCCCAGTCAATAGTGGTAAAGAACACATAAATCATTATAATATACTCATCCTTCTCTATATATCCCTCCTCTTGTTATAAGACAGATATAGATCACAGGTCATACACTATTGACTATTCAATATATCCCTCCTCCTCCGGCACAAGGCAATTATAGATTATAGATTATACACTACTTATCTCCTGCTACACTACTCAGTTGGAGAGCTAGGAATATTTTATAGGAACTCTAGATAGTGGCCCAACTACACCACAACATCAGTACATCAGTACCTATTAGTAACAAACAGTAAATACTTGTTGTAACAAATAGTAACCACTTAGTTACCGTGCCTTGTATCTCCTTTGGTCGGTCCCTTTAGCTCTGTACTCTAATTACAGTTCACAAATGAGTTTACAGCTCATATCTCCCTCCCTGACTCCCGCTCTGTTTACTTACACTATTAGAGGTTACATCACACTAGCTATCTGTTACACTGGATAGTAATAAGTCTGGAGTAATATCACTGTTATGATATCACTCACCTTCTTGTAGAGAGAGGCGTGTACTAATCCGGTATTTAATAATACCCAATAATAAAGGTAACACCCCACCTCTCACCCCCCTGTCCTTGTTATCCCCGGGATCAGGTCCCTGTCTTACCTCTGTCCTTGTTGTCCGCAGCTATGAAGCCCAGAATGTTCTCATGTCTCATAAGAGCTGTCCTGTAGATATCCATCTCGCGAGACCAGCTCTTCTCGTCATGGGAAGCGAATATCTTCACTGCAATGTTGTCGCCTCTGAAACTACCTCTGTGCACCTGTAAAGTAACCAATCAGAACACTGTAATAGTGACTCGTGACACAAACCAACCAACCACATAATATTTAGGTGTTGGTTGTGTTACATCTCTTTACAGCAGCCCTGTCTTTGATTGGGTGTTGAGGATTCCACACTACTTAGTTGGTAGATACGCTATATCCAGGATTTTTATACTATTTATAGTGAAATATTATTCTTCAAAAGCCCCTACTACTAAGTCAAACTAATCGTATAACGAGTGGGTTCTAACTAACACAGAATAATGAAATTATCATATCCACTCGCTTAGACGATTGTTAATCGTCCATATCAAGTTATGATTGTCGAAACAATTTATGAAGTTCAACATCAAAAGCAAGAACTGAACTTGCTCGCTTACAAACTCATTGTTTTTTTCCCTCTTTTTTTCTTGTTGTACAGTGGAAATTATGTGGAATACCCAACCAACCAATCAAAACACAGTTAAAATAATGTGAACTAGCTGACATACCTCACCAAACCTTCCTTTCCCTATCGTCTCGATGAGTGTTATCTGTCGGGCAATGGTTCTCTGGTTCATTCTCCGCTCACTATTATACCCAGAACCTGCAATTAATAGTTGTGTTATTACCGGCTGCAGGGGTACAAATGTGCTAAGTTGAAAGTGTAATGTGACCCCATGATCAGCACAATTACTAAAGATGGGAACTAACCGCTGCCGAAGCTACTAGATAGGTCAGGCTGAGAAGGGAAAGCCCCCTTTCCCATGGTGACTCCGTTAAAAGGGTAGTCAGTGTGAGGAGTCAGGGAGTAGTCCTTGTGTGGAGTCCCGTAGTTACATCTCTTGTAGACTAGCACTGAGAAAGAGAAAGTGAATGTTACATCTCTTGTAGACTAGCACTGAGAAAGAGAAAGTGAATGTTACATCTCTTGTAGACTAGCACTGAGAAAGAGAAAGTGAATGTTACATCTCTTGTAGACTAGCACTGAGAAAGAGAAAGTGAATGTTACATCTCTTGTAAACTAGCACTGAGAAAGAGAAAGTGAATGTTGCATCTCTTGTAGAATTGCACTGAGAAAGAGAAAGTGAATGTTACATCTCTTGCAGACTAGCACTGAGAAAGAGAAAGTAAATGCTACATATCTTGTAGACTAGCACTGAGAAAGAGAAAGTGAATGTTACATTGGGCTCAAAGTGAAAGTGATCTTATCTGATACATTTACTACTTTATATCATACGAATCGAATACTCGCTAGGCTTTACACCGACCTATTTTAAATAAATCCTAGTGATCCATAGCCATAATACCAAAGAGCACTTGTTATTCTTATTTACTAAGAGAAGGTCTGGTTTAGACTTAATGACTAGTGGAAGTGACATTAGCTCAGACAAGTCCGGCCTATTGAAGAGTTGTCTGGCTACTTGACCGCACCAACCTCTATTATCAGTAATACTGTTCGACAAGCAATAGGGTTAAATGTAATAATACTCCCAGACTACTGTTAACTCACCCAGCAAGAGGGAGATAGCGAACAGGACTGTTAGCGAGCCCATAAGAATGTAGATAAGACCTAGTTCATCTTCAGTGGAGGTCGTTTCGCCCTCCACTGCCACCCCATCGTCATCATAGTCTGTAAAAGATAATTTTAGTAAAAGATTAAACGAATTTTGTCTGCAATTGAGTGAAGCGAGCTGAGCCTTGACTTGAAGTATGGACTAGGCTCATATTTCACAAATCGTAGTAGTAGGTCCCAGAGAAGTTGCAAAAGTTGTTAAAAAAGCATTTAACACTGATAATTTACAATGCTAAACGGTAATAAGATGGTAAAGATGAAGAAGACATAATGCAGTAATGTATAATATCAGATGTCCACTGGGAATGAATATTACAGACAGCAATCTTCAGTCAATATTGTTAAATGTTGACAAAAATGCTCGTCTTGAGCAATGAGCACCAAAGGTCACCATTTTCTTACAAAGATGGTTTCTCTATCAGCACTCAGTCAGCCTAATAGTAAGCTATGTTTTGTCTATCAGTCCACTGGTATTCTGTGATATTTCAACTTTTAACTTTGAGTGACAGCTCCAGTAATTTTGCGGACTATTTTATTTCCACTGTAGTATCAATCCATGAAACTATAACCCAGTGTAGAATACAGGCTACACTTCACATGTGGAGGTATTTAGACAGCTATTTACATAGTTACACTGGGTTTCCTGGTGCGTACTCTCAAAACCAGACACCTCGATTATCCCTTACATGGGCATCGAGACGAACCTGACAGCTCAGCCTTACTATTGATAGAAAAATCCTCATTTTACGTCTTCACTGTCTCATATATATTGGTCACGGGCAGTATAATTTAGTTATGTGTGTTATCTACTCTTTTGGAAATTAAAGGATTCTCTACAAAATACACTATTTTGTAGTGTATACCCTGAGCAAAGTGCAAGTGTTACCGTGGAAACCAGGGTACAGTGTTACCATGGAAAATATGGTTTCCATAGTAACACTGTACTGTACTATAGTTTCCATGGTTGCGCCAGTCAGAACAATGTATCTGAACCACATGACACAAACCGAAAAATTAAAACATAGTTTCGGTGCCGCGTACATAAGCCAACCAATCAGAATACAGTATGATATCATGTGACCAACCTGAAACTGACTCTATGGTAATGTCGTCAGTAGATTTACTCTGCATCTCCGACAGTATCACATGATTGTCGGGTATCTTTTCAGCACTGTTGCAGAAATTCTCACTACAGCACTGTACTTTGAACGGTCGTTCTGTGTGCTGCCTGAAATAATAAACTTTTTATATAATGTAATAAGATGTTACAATAAGATGCGCATGCTATGATCATTGACTATTTTAATCCATCGTTAATTCTTGGCCATTTAGCTTATAGTTTGATTTTGAGCAATATAAGACTTATTGAACCAATAATTTTGGACTTCTATTTCCTCTAGGCTCTAACCTTTGCAAAATAAATTTCGGGGGCTAATGTAGATATTGAAATACAACTTAAAAGCTTAACATAAGACATGAAATTGATGTTTTTAAGCCCAAACAATCAACAGGATGAGTTTGAAAATACGAAGTATAAGTTTGGATGAAAATAAACTCACGTGTTACAAGCTAAGATGGCTTGGTTAGTACAGCTTCTGTATGTGTACTGTTTGTTGTCTTCATCAAGGCTGAACTTCACAAAGCATCGCGTGTTGTTGTTGGTGATGTCGATTTTACAAGTGCCTTTCTGGCATGTGTCGCACTGGCATGTTCGGATAGAATCTTTTCTCGTGTTCTCGTCTGCAACCAATTCAAACTTATAGGGTTTATCTGAATCTATATGGCGTATAACAGAATCTATTTTTGAGATGGACTCGGCAGTAATGGGTGTGACGTATTTCAAACCTTGGCTAAGAGCAGATATCCAAAGAATGTAAAGCAGGATTATAGTCACTCGGAGCAGCATTCTCTTCACTTTACACAACTTAACATTCTGAATTGTGAAGATTGTTGAATTGTTCAAAGAAACTTTCAAATAATTATGCATTGTGTTTGTCAATTTGCTCACAAAACGAATGATTATCACATATGCACAACTGCACAAATGGTATTGAATTGAAATCTGATGAATGATTATAAAATGAGCATACATTGCATTTGTGTAAGTTCTCTCTCAATATATTATATTATATCAATAACTTCTTCACTTTAATATCTCAAATTATCAATAAAAATTGTTGTTTCTGTCTGTATGCCGATTGGGTGTGTGCACATTGGGTAAAATAACACATTACACTCAGGGTAGCCATGGTTTCTCTCTCTCTCTGTTCTGGTCAACGGTTTCTGGCCTCTTACGATAAAGATGGAGGCCTTCTCGCCGTGCCCACAGAATGCAACTCCTGCTAGCTGCATTCCAGGACTCCCAAAGTATATACGAAATCATAAAATAATAAATATCAATGCAATTAGTAGCCATGGTTTACTGCAAGATATCTATGGAATTGCATGTGCATTTTAATTTTCTGTAAATTGCGCAAAATATTGACCAGACATGTGCAAATTCGGTGAACATTTGTTAATTGAAATGGAACATAGTACAGCAGCCAAATAAAATCTAAGATAAACCTTTAATAATATATAATACGAAAATAGAGAATAACATCACCTAATTATTATAAGGACATTATTATTAGACATAACTGAAACAAACTCTATTCGGATGTCAAGAACTCTTGAGACAGTTCTAAGTTTCAAAGTTAAATTATAAGGATTTAAGAAAGATATGATTTTTAAAAGTTTTGTGAATGAATGTTATTTTTGGAATATTTCCAAAGAAGTATTAGGAAAAATTGATGCAACCAATCATGTTTTAAATAACAAAGAAAAGCATAATGAATATCTTAGCTTTAATCCCCATGATGCTCAAAAGCGTTTTATTAACTTATATACTATATAGTGGTGGAAAACATAATCAATTGCATTTTTACTTGGTCGCTGTACCTACTACCTAGCTTCAATTTATAACTAGAGATGTGGGAGAGTAAATGGCTTTTAAAGTTTAATCCTACTAAGTATTCAGTAATGCATTTAGATTAGAGTGGTTCATTTTACCAAAAGTTGTTCAAATAATTAGAAATCATATCTTATTAGTTGCTCTATAGGGTCAGGAACGACCAAAAAATTTTTTTTGACTCTAGTGTTCCGGATATGGTCCGCACATGAGACGCCCATTTTTATAGCGTTTCTTATACAGGTAAAATTGTCTAAATCGTCAATTTAGTCATGAAGGAGTATGGAAGGAGTTCTGAATGTGTGCTCCTCTAATATAAACAGTAGAAAATGGTTAACTTTAGTCGAGGTCTCAGGTCTCTACAATGTCGGGAAGTTCCTGCAGGAGTTTGCGCATTGCCCTGAAGCGCGGGATTCACTGCGCCAAAAGTGAAGGTCGTAGAGACATGAGACCTTGACTAAAGTTAACCATTTCATACCATTACTATAGGAGTGTGACACTTTCAGAGTCCTTATATGACTTAATCGTCAATTATATTAATTTTACCTGTTAAAATATATCATCTTTAACTGATATCAATTTAGTTTAACACTGTTAGCTTTAGAAAAGAAAATAATGCTTCACACCAAACTTACACACAGCATAAAGAAATACAAAAAGATTCCAAATTGAACTTTGATTATATCCTGGGACTGGTTATCATTTCTCGATTGTTCTCCATTCTCCAATGCAGTCAGAAAGTTCAGATTTAGGTAGACTTGGTTTTCGAATCTTCATATGTTCAGAAGTAGGCCAGAAGGGGTTTGGTTACCAGAGGAATTGAATATCTTCGTGGAACAAGGAAATTAATGAGGTCTTCGTTGATTTCTTCATAACTCGTCACTGACAGGATGAGTATTGACGAGATCCACTGATTATTTCATAGATCGTCATTGATAGGATCAGTATTAATGAGATCGAATGATTATTTGATAGCTCGTAACTAACTGGATCAGCATAACATGACTAACGACTAACGAGGTCCAGTGATATCTTGCTGAATGCTGATTCGTCAAGGTCAGTAAATAACTATAAATATCGAAAAAATTTGCTTACAAATTACAGAGTGCAAATGCCTTCTTCACAACTATCGGCTATGAACGGAACAGATGAATCTCTTCTTTGGCTTCATCTTTTAAAATGACTCAGTCCCTCTGAAACAAGATAATGCTTAGGACTAGGAGGAACTTAGTTAAGTTCTCGTAGGATTCGCTAAGAGGAAAATTACTTAGTAAGCTAACATCATTTTGTAGGATGTTACCACTCATCATATGGGCGTGGCATGTGCGGACCATATCCGGAACACTAGAGTCAAAAAACTTTTTTTGGTCGTTCCTGACCCTATAGAGCAACTAATAAGATATGATTTCTAATTATTTGAACAACTTTTGGTAAAATGAACCACTCTAATTTAGATGTTAACGATAACCCAAGATCAAGTTATTCTCTTAATGGAGTTACATTGGCAGAATCTGTCCAGGAAAAAGACTTAGGAGTTATAACCCATAACTCTCTGCTTTGGAATGAACAGATTAAGGCTTCAATATCTAAAGCCAACAGAATGATATGTTGGATTGTTAGAAATCTGATTATCAGGGAAAAATCTGTGATGATATCCATTTACAAAGCTTTGATAAGACCCCATTTAGAGTATTGTGTTCAATTGTGGAGTCCAGTTGCGCTCATGGAAGTTGGGGGATCATCTTGGAGCTGGAGAGCGTCCAGAGGCGGTTTACCCGTCTGATTGACGAGGTGGGTACTCTTCCATACAGTCGTCGACTGGAAATCCTCAATTTAACAACGCTGGCAGAGTGGCGAATACGTGGGGACCTCATTGAATCTTTTAAAATGATAAGTGGTTTGGCCAATTACGGAGCTGGTTTGTTCAGTATGAGCAGATCTGGTCTTAATGTGATATCAAACAGTCGATGCAGTAAAAGTAGCAGTAAAATGAAGAAAGTCCACAGTTCTTTTCTTCCGGAGAGGGTGAGACCATATTGCATTGGAACAAACTCCCCTCGGATGTCAAGAATTGTGGGACTGTGTTAAGTTTTAAAATAAGATTAGAGGCTTTCAAAAAAGAGACTATTTTAAACGGAAAGTATGTAAATTAGTTTCATTTTAACTTGGTTGTCTAGGCCAATAGATTTAAGATAATTTTTAAATTTTAGTAGATATATTTTTGATGATGTGTGATGATGTTTGTGTCATTATATTTTGATTTGATTTGATTTACTTCCTGTTTGTGTCTTTTTTCTTTGATGTGATTTAATTCATAAAATGATGGCGTTTTTAAAGTGTTGCAGGACTTTTGCCAGTATACTAAATAATTCAACTTTTGTGTTGAAAGCCTTTTACAAGACTGTTATTATATTATATTCAGAATATATTTATATACAGAACATACGTATTTCGTATAAGAACGAAAATCGTGTTATCCATTTACGTGAAAGACCTCACAAACAATTGCCTTCATTTTTGCTAGAGGTTAAGAACAATAGAATCAAGGAAACAATATAATATATTACATTGAAGTGAACTAAAAAATCTATTGAATTAATAATGTGTATAGAACAGTACTTTAGTTTACAGTTTATATCAGTGCTTTATTTACAGTGTACAGTGCACTAAATAAATACTGACTCGAAGGGTACCCTTAACATTTATTACAAGATACGAAATCTTTTGTCAGGGTCCCTCCTCATTTGACCTTCAATCATGGACGTTCCTAATCACTTTATTTGATGCAGTCTTACGATTAATGAAACAACAGTGTCTGAACAGGCCATCTTCCGATCAGGGACTGTTCACATACTACATAATAACTTTTTTGGCCAATTTTAATCCCCCTCCCCCTCCTTATCCAGTTTTACACATTTAACTATTGTGTCAAAATTACACTGACACAATCATTTTGAAACTCCCTTCCCCTGATTGATATACTCGTATATACGAACGACCCCTTACGAGTAGAACTAGAGCCCCTTCAAGCGAAATGCTTCAAAAAGAAATTCCGATTAAAAGAATTATATCACGTTTCCTGCCTGTCATGTGGGCCTCAGGTTTAAATGTTTAACATTTAAAGAATCATGTGATGGAGCAGTCCTAAAAGATAACAACAATTTTATATAGTCTCAGTTATAAGCTAGACATACTTTCCCTAAATGAGATGAATCTTAATGATACTATTGACACAGACACCATAAATATTCCTTCCTCCTTCAACATTATGCGATGCGACAGGCCAAACAGTTCTAGGGGTGGTTGTGGCTTAATGATAAACAAAAAACTAGCTTACACAGAATTAGTTATGGATAGTAAGCTTGATAACATTGAAGCATTATGGGTGAAGCTTAAGAATAGCAAGATCAATGTTTGCTGCTTCTATCGCTCTGGAAATTATTGCAGTGTTGATAACTTTATTGAGTACATTCATTTTTGCATGAAAAAATTGAACGGGAAAAAGGTTATCTGGATTGGGGATATAAACATTGACCAGAATAATATCTCATCCACCCAGTACAAAAAATTAGATATGACCTTGAGATGTTACAATCTAGTTCAAACCATTCAAGGGATAACTAGAGTTGCTAAACGTGGAGACAATTTTACCCAGACTACTATTGATGTAATATTCACTAACTGTTATGCAGATTTTGTTCAATCTTCTGTTCTTGATGAATGTATTGGGGATCATCAAGCTATTATGTGTGAGATAGATTGTAAAGTACCTATAGCTCCTAAATTTGAAAAGGTTGAAATTAGAAATCATTGTAAACGTAATGTTAAACAATTCTTAGACTATCTAGATACCTGTTCTGATTACAGTCCACTATTGGAAAGTACAGATGTTGAAGCTATCACTGCTGGCCTTTGTCATCATATTGAACAGGCATATGCAACCTGCTTCCCTTGCAAGACCATAGAAAGGCATGAAAAGTTCATACATAAACC